TTTTCACTGAACACCGGGTAATGAACTATGTCACCATGCTCTACATTTGGCCAATCATCTGGATTAGTGCTAAACAAGGCACCGTGGAGGGCATAGGGGTCCATATGGTCGATCACGGAACATTTCCTCAGATATGTTCTATGATCTGGTGGCTCTAGCGTGCTGGCGTACTTATCCATTCGCGACATGATATATTTAATATACGATAATATGCCACCCAAGATGGCGGACCAGAAGCTGGCCAGTGACGTCACTGAAAACCCCCTATTCCATGGGGGGGAGGCATGGGGGGAACACTGCCTATGAAAGTCCACGTCAATTTCTGACAATTTATGGGAGTTTTCGGCGATGCCTACAAATTACCGTAAACTGCCGTTAACCTGAACTTCCACGACAATCTACAGTGCCGCATATTGACGAAAATCCCACTTTTCATGCAGTGTAAATTTGCTCCATTATCTGACCTCATGACAAACACCTGGCCTCTGCATGCAACAAATCTCCTAAATGCATGAATCAGTCTCAAGTGACTGGGCGACTTCTATGTGTATTGTTCTAATGGTGAGACGTGAACAACACACCATATTGCTTGACTGTACTTCCACATTTTACATCGAAGGGTCCAAAATAATCGATTCCCACATTTGTAAATGGGGGCTTATGAGACATCAATCAACCAGGTGGTAAATTAGCCATTCTTTGTTCTCCAGTTTTTGCTGAGATTCTTTTGCACGTCACACATAATGACAGTATTTTTATGACAGCTGAATCTGCTTGTGGAATCCGAAACCTTTCCCTCAATTCTGACATTATGTAACTTCTTCCACTGTGTCCTGTTTCTTGATGAATGTGTCTGAGAATCAACATCAAAATATGGTGATTTTTAGGAAGAAGAACAGGATGCCTAACATCTGCAGGCAAAGCAGATTGATGCAACCCTCCTCCAACTCTTAAAATCCCATCTTGAAGAAAAGGGTCAAGCTTATGATTTGACTTGATCTTTTCAGCTTGTCACCCTTCTGAAGACTTTTAAACTCATCACTGAAACCTTGACTTTGACAGACTTTGATAATCACAGTGGTTAGGAATGAAAAAAAACTTTAACATCCATGACACTGCTTTTTAATCTGTGCCAGTCTGAGTAATAACGGGTGAACTTGGTAAGAGCATTTTCGCACAACTCTACTTTATTTTTAATTTCCGCATCGTCTTTTATTATTTCTTTCATATCTGGTGAAACTGACCAGTGTTCTTTGTTCTTTACCAGAAAATCCAGTCCAGTAATGCACTTGTGACCTTTTAGGAATGCATGTGCATTCATCCCTCTGGATGCATGGTCAGCTGGATTTGACTCAGAGCTTAGATACTTTTTAAATCTGATGTTCTCACTGGAAATGTACTTCAGCATAGTAGTACTGTGACCAAAACACACACTCTTAAAGGAATAGTACACCCAAAACATGATTAGCCTTCATTTTCTACTCACCCCCATGCTGAACAACACTCTGGAGTACTTTTTTGATATCTCAAATGCATCTGGAGATCTGGGAGGCTTCTTGCTGTCTGCTGACATTCAAATAATGGAGGTCTGTGGCGCCCGAGGCAGAAAGGTCCATAAAAGTCCACAAAAAACATGTCAATATTCCTCCATACTGCTCGTCCAATGTATTCCAAGTGTCCTGAGTGGGTAGCATCCAGAATTTACTCGAAACGAAGTCATTTAGAATGTTTTTAGAGCATAAACAGTAGTGTATAGGATTTCCTGAAAGCGCGCACATGCGCGATCCCAACGCTACGGAAGCCGGCAGACCAAACCAGCGCATTCAGCTCGGCAAAGAACTCATGCTCTTCCTCAACACTGAAGTCCTCAGACATTTTTCTTTCGTTGTTTCTTTCTTTGCACAGGTAAACGGCACATTTCTTCTTCTACGCTTGCATTATTGGCAGAGCAGACGCTGAATGCGCACTTTCATCTGGTTTGGTCTGCCGGCTTCCGTAGCGTCGTGATCGCGCAGGTGCGCGCTTTCAGGAAATCCTTCTATCCTCACAGTCTGGATTCCATGCAGGACACCCTTTGCAGGAGAAGTAAGTCTGCAACTTTTTCCTCCTATGCAAAACAAAAAATTCAAATTTCCCACTGAGCCTGAACTAACCGCAGTGTCTTCCCCTCACCTTTCAGTCCCTGTTGAGCAGTGCTCAGAGCAGCACAGGATTCACCATTCTCAAATAAACCTGTTTAAACTTTTCCCTGGTCTCACTGTTTGGTCTTCTGCATCTTGGGGTCAGACTTTAATAAAATCATGACAGACGGACAGTTTTGGTGGAAACAGGAGAGTTGAGGTGCACATTTAATTCTGCTGTGATTTGGGCAGCCATTTTTTTTTTGGATACAATCCAGGTTAGCACCCGAACATCCCTTTCAGACAGCTTCCTCTTGCGTCCACAGTTAATCCTGTTGGATGTGGTTCGTCCTTCTTGGTGGTATGCTGACATTACCCTGGATACCGTGGCTCTTCATACATCACAAAGACTTGCTGTGTTGGTCACAGATGCGCCAGCAAGACGTGATCCAATAATTTGTCCTCTTTTGAACTCTGGTGTGTCACCCATAATGTTGTGTGCATTGCAATATTTTGAGCAAAACTGTGCTCTTACCCTGCTAATTGGACCTTCACTCTCTGCTCTTATTGGTTCAATGTGCAATTAATGAAGATTGGTCACCAGGCTGAGCCAATTTAGCCATGAAAACTCCCACACTAAAATGAGAGCTGTTTCAGTTTCATTGTCCAACCCCTGTATATGCTTTCTTAAAGGAATAGTACACCCAAAACATGATTAGCCTTCATTTTCTACTCACCCCCATGCTGAACAAAACTCTGGAGTACTTTTTTGATATCTCAAATGCATCTGGAGATCTGGGAGGCTTCTTGCTGTCTGCTGACATTCAAATAATGGAGGTCTATGGCGCCCGAGACAGAAAGGTCCACAAAAGTCCACAAAAACGTGTCAATATTCCTCCATACTGCTCGTCCAATGTATTCCAAGTGTCCTGAGTGGGTAGCATCCAGAATTTACTCGAAACGAAGTCATTTAGAACGTTTTAGAGCCTAAACAGTAGTGTATAGGATTTCCTAATAGCGCCCCCATGCGCGCTCACGATTCTACGGAAGCCGGCAGACCAAACCGGAAGGAAGTGCGCATTCAGCGTCTGCTCTGCCGATAATGCAAGCGTAGAAGAAGAAATGTGCTGTTTACCTGTGCAAAGAAAGAAACAACGAAAGAAAAATGTCTGAGGACTTCAGTGTTGAGGAAGAGCATGAGTTCTTTGCCGAGCTGAATGCGCTGGTTTGGTCTGCCGGCTTCCGTAGCGTCGTGAGCGCGCATGGGGGCGCTATTAGGAAATCCTATACACTACTGTTTAGGCTCTAAAAACATTCTAAATGACTTCGTTTCGAGTAAATTATGGACGCTACCCACTCAGGACACTTGGAATACATTGGACGAGCAGTATGGAGGAATATTGACACGTTTTTATGGACTTTTATGGACCTTTCTGTCTCGGGCGCCATAGACCTCCATTATTTGAATGTCAGCAGACAGCAAGAAGCCTCCCAGATCTCCAGATGCATTTGAGATATCAAAAAAGTACTCCAGGGTGTTGTTCAGCATGGGGGTGAGTAGAAAATGAAGGCTAATCATGTTTTGGGTGTACTATTCCTTTAATGCAATTAAATACATTTGTGATGGTGACTTCTAAAGATCTCAATGTATTTCGTATCGATCAGATAACATCCTCTAATATAGGATGGGCCTTTATTTCACTCGTGCATATCTTGGTCCAGGCCATTATTGGAAGAAGGCCAGAATTAGAGGCAGGCCTCTAATTCTATTTGATCAAAACAGACTACCAGTGGAATTAATAAAAAACAAATTTTGTTTCTCTTTGAACCTATGAAATACTAGGTTCATTTATTGAAAAAGTACAGTTGCCATTGGTATACAGAACATTATTAAGACATCTTCCAGTAGCTGCTATTTTTCTGCAGAATGGAATCTTGGCCAAAATGACTTGCGAAGCAAAATAAAAAAAAAAAAGGAAACTGTTCTGCCATCACAGCGAAATTTTATCTGAGGCAGGCTGAGCGGAAGTAGGCTCGCAGTATCATACATTTCACAGGAAATTCAGAACAACGAAGGCCAACGAAATTCTGTCATTTTAACGCTGCCTGGTTACCACCAGACCTACCGGTGATCACATGTGTGTTTCAGATCAGAACGATTGTGTGGCTGTTATCCTCCTGCAGCAGTGTGTTGCAGTGAGCTAGACGCAGACATTTTAGATTTATGCTCAATATTAAAGCGTGGTCTGCGCTACACGTTGTGGGTCAAGATACGGCAGAGGCGGGTAAGGAAATAGGGGCGAGTAGTCCGACAACGGAAGGACATGATGCCGAAAAAGAGTGGAGATCCAGGTGGAAACAGGGTCCCAGCGTTCTCACCTCGCTCTTCTAGCAGGTCAAACTTCACGAGTTGTTTTCCGCAAATTTGGTCATAAAAACAAAACAAGCCGGCCTCCTGTCTGCAGCACTGTCTGCGCGAAGGAAGGGACTTCCCATGCTAATGGCTTGGATTCGTTAGTCAACATTTGTCCTTGTATGTTACTATCACAAGTTGTTGAGGACTCCTCGGGAACATTGTTGGTTCTAATTGTAGCCCTGGCCTGAGTCCGGCCATTATTTACCTCTGCCGACAGCGAGACTGGCCATTATTAGAGACCTGGCTGCTAATGGAATACAGGCCAATATTAGAGGATTTACGGTATATATATATATATATATATATATATATATATATATATATATATATATATATATATATATATATATATATATAGGGTATAAATTATGCTATACTCTCTTAGCTCAGGGAGAGAGAAAGTGGTGCTTTAGACTCTGCTATAATATTGAATACTGATTATGAATCTCAACATTTTCCAACAGAGAAACAGGAGCTGAGGATCGTGGTGATTGGGAGCAATAATGCAAAGAAGAAAGAAGTGATTGACATGATCTGGAAATATCTTCAGCAGAGTAACAATCCACATCAGACCAGATCCCCATCAGCAACCAGGAGTTGCTGCCTAAAATCTAAGGGTTACCCTGTGAGCTATAAAGGACGTGACATGGTTATTTTTAACCCACCTGGTCTGTATGCTTCAAAATGCTACGGGGATAAAATGAAAGAGATCAAGAGGTGCATCTCCAAAACCGCCGGTCATCTGTTCCTGTTGGTGATCGAGAACGAACCATCCAAAAAGAAAATTAAAGAAATGCTAGAGGACATAAAATTCACCTTTGGTCAGACAGTAACAGAGAACATGGTTCTTGTGATCAATGGATATGCTGCAGAGGATGGGGGGGGGTCAATAATAGATGCCATTAACGCTGAGGAGGAACTGAAAAACAGGTGTGTTAATGTCCAAGGCCAAAACCCTGAATCCGCAGCTGACATCATGGATAAAGTTGAAGAAATCATTGATGGTCGTAAATGCTGTTACACCTACGATGAAATGATGAAGGCTCGTTCGTTAGCAGAAAAAGGTGAGAATCATCTACTGCTGATTGAAATATGTTTACTGACAGGATAAAGGCCTGGAGGTTTGGTCTGAGTCAGTCACAGAGGGCCTGGGTGGGCTTCAGTCCCAGAGACTCCAGGCTGAAATTGCCTGGTTATGGTCTTTATGTACGATTAAAGCCCTCTGAAGGGAAGCAGGGCAGTTAGAGATGTTAGAATAGGAAGCAGCATTCTAGATAAGAACAAGGTCTGATCTTTAGCAGCCTTTATTATAATGTCTGCTCAGTTTAGGCCTCATGTCGAGCTTTTGCAGGTGATTTAGACTCTGCTGTATTACTGCATACTGATTATGAATCCTAATATTTTCCAACAGAGAAACAGGAGCTGAGGATTGTGGTGATTGGGAGCATTGATGCAGGGAAGAAAGAAGTCATTGACATGATCCGGAACCACCCGAGGATCACTGACAAACCAAATGAAACCAAGGTCAACATTTGCTGCTCGAAGCCCCAAACTGAGAGTTACGCTGTGAGATATGAACGCCGTGACATGATTCTATTTGACCCACCGGGTCTGTGTGATCCAAACTGTAATGGGGATGAAATGAAAGAGATCAGGAGGTGCATCTCCAAAAACGCTCGCCACGTGTTCCTGTTGGTGCTAGACGTAAACTTTACGGAAGAAAATAAAGAAATGTTGGAAAAGATAGAATCCACATTTGGAGAGAACATACAAGAGAACATGATTATTGTGTTCAAACTGACACAACCTTGCGACGAGCCCCAAATAGATATAATTAAGAGGGAGGTATTTGACCTTATGAAGTTCCTCTATGACTTTGCAGTGAAATGTGAAAGGAGGTGTGTGGATGTCGTTAAAACTTCCAACAATGAATCTGCAGTCAAACAAATCATGGATGAAATTAACAAGATCATCACGATAAGTGAAGGAGAGTGTTACACCTACAAGATGTTGAAGACCGTTCAAAAGAAAGAGGAGAAAACTGAGAAGCTTTCAATGAGGGCGAAAATTGGTTTACTGGTAGGATTATGGATCGGAGCTTTGCTCGGGCTCATTTTCTTTGGGAAGGACTTCCTTCAAACAGGATGTGTGCTTGGAGGTGGATCTGGAGCCATAATGGGGATGGTCGGTCCTGCTGCAAAAAACCGGCTGTTGGCAATACAAAATCGTATTTAATTATCTGCTGCTTTAATGAGCTCAGAGCTTCAGAGAAACTCCAAATATTCGGACCTAAAGCCAAGTTAACGGTACGGGAAGATCCATGACCATTATCATGACATCACTAACAGCATCATCGTCCAGTTAATTTGTCCTTTTTTATTTTTACATTTTACATTTATTCTGTAAGTTTTTTTAACCTTTAACCTTTGCTTTGATTTTAAAACCATTTAATCAGATTTAGCGTGCAGATTAAACAGTAGATGAAAGTTTTCTTTCTTCTATATTTTTGTAACGAGAATTAAAGTCGTAGGGAAGCGGCTGTTCCAACCGTTGCATTTCCAAATTCTCCCGAGTGGTGCGCGATTTTACACGAGTGAATAAAGAGAATGTGATTGGTCGATTATCAAGGGGGCGGGATCTTTGTGGTGGAAGGTTCAAAAGCAAGTTTGAGAGATTGGAGCAGGTGCTCTATTTGCCAATCCAGACCTAAAACCCGTCTCATCTAAGACTCTGGACCTAAGGGACTAACCCCTGACCTACCAGGCATCGCTGATCCCTCTTCTCACCCTCCCCAGCACAGCCAACACTTGGACATTTACAACCAATACAGTCAATGAGAAGCTGTTTCCAGCCGAACAAAGACATTTAGATCTCTGCTTGGGCGGTTATTCTGTTGGAAATATTTAAACCAAAAATTTTTTCCAACATTTATTTTTAACGAGGATAGAATCTTCTGATGTTTTCTGCAGACGTTCTGCACATATCCCCCTGGAAAATGAGAACTTCATCCCAACTGGGTTTTCATCTGGTTGAAGAAAAGGAAATGAATCAAATACTTAATGATAAATGGAGAGCAGGGGTTCTGTTTGATTATCCTGACCTAAAGTTGGGTTTCCTTTGGGACTCTGAGCACCCCTGACCTTTCTCTGTTTGGATGCTTCTCTTGGGTTTGTTTGGATCAGTGGCCCACAGAACACTGGACCAACCACTTTGCCCTGTGACCGAGTCCTGCACAGGTCTGATTTTTAAAAACTGTATCCAACAGTTCAGAACCGAGACCCGACCTACCCACGATTATCCCTATTTAAACCCGGCTGGGAACAACACAACTGTAAATAATGAAGTGCAACCCGACCCATGATCACAAAGTGTAAACACAGCTGTTTATAATAACAGAGACAGAAAAGATAATTGCGTCACGCTCACCTCCAGAGAGCGCTGCGCTCACAGATTAACAGCTGTATTGGCTGAATAAAGAAGGTTTGCCTTAATGGTTAAAAAATATTGTTATCTGGATATTCTGAATCAGTAAATTTTTTAAGATGTACAGTTTATAAATAACAAATGATACATTTCATTCAAGCTGTAACTCTCTGTATGTTATCTGTCCATATTTTGTTCATTTATAACCTTGCCTGCACCCGTCAAATAATATGAGGTCTTTTTCTACCTGTAGATGTAGGTATTATACGATTACCTGATGATACCGACGGGTGCGCGAGCCGGTGCAGGACTCTGCTCTGGAATGTTCAGTTTGTTCTGGTTGCTTCTTTACCTGCTTCTGACTGCTTTGTAAATCGTTCTGTTCCATCTGAACCACAATAAATGATTTCAGCTTCACATCAGTTTGTGTTTTATTCATTAAAATTCACCATTAATTAAAAATTATTCTAATGTTTTGTTGTTTTATGGTGGAGGTTAGATGTATGTTAGCCTCTGAATAAACAAAATGCTGTAAGTTTTGAACAAGAAAGCTGGTGTGGAAAAATGAAGCAGAACCAAGGACCTGAGGAATTCTGGCTACTGAGAGCTTCAGAAAAGAGCAGCAACAGGTGCAAACGGTAGAATAAAGGAGGAAATACAGGGGAAAAGAATTGATTAATTAGAAGAAAGGCTCTGGTAGACGGAGGAATGATAAAACTTGGAAAACATAATTTATGCATAAAACTAAGAAAGAATCCAACAATAGAGAAGAAAGAACTAGAGAAGGTAAAGACATAAATCAATTCGAAGCACTGAGACATAAGCAAGAGTAATAAATTCTAAAACAAATGACAAAATGTAAATAAACTGAACTAATATGGCAAAATCCTAATTGCAAATAAAACAGAACATGGCATGTGTCGTGGGAAAAAATTATTCAACCATTCATCCTAGCTAAATAAACGGAGATCGATGGATTTCACTTAGTCGGCACATCTATTAATATCCTTGCAAAGAGAGAACAGTTCATCATGCAGCCCTTATTGCAGCATTCTGCTCTGTTCTGCTAGAGCAGCGTTTGTTCCTCCCTCCTTACAACAATGGAAAAGTATTCAGAGTCAAAACAAATTACAGAAACCTTGGTTAAACAGTAACATGTTATAAATAAACCTTGAGAAAGAATCTTGTTTGTTATGGGAAGAAGCTATGTCTGCTCTACAAACATCACCCTGCAGAGAATGGTGTGGCCTTGAGAGAGAAACAGACTGAGTGAAAACTTTTATAGTGAGTAAATAGGATAAATTAATATATAATAAAAAAAGATAATAAAGATCAGCAGTTTCTGAAATACTCAGACCAGCCCTTCTGGCACCAACAATCATGCCACGTTTAAAGTCACTCAAATCACCTTTCTTCCCCATACTGATGCTCGCTTTGAACTGCAGGAGATTGTCTTGACCATGTCTACATGCCTAAATGCACTGAGTTGCCACCATGTGATTGGCTGCTTAGAAATTAAGTGTTAATGAGCAGTTGGACAGGTGTACCTAATAAAGTGGCCGGTGAGTGTATATAACAGGACAAACAACCAGTCATTAACACACTCACACCTAAGAGGACCGTAGAGAAGCCAATTAACCTAACAGTCATTTGGACTGTGGGAAGAAGCCGGGGTACCCGGAGAGAACCCATGCATGCTCAGGGAGACCATGCTAACTCCATGCAGAAAGACTCGGGCTGGGAATCAAACCCAGAACCTTCTTGCTGCAGGGCAGGAGTGCTACCCACTGCGCCGCCCCTTCTCATTCATGTTGTATGATTAAATAATCAAAAAGCCAAAGCTGATGTCAGACATCTTCAGGTGGGCGTCTTCATCTCTCTGTTGATGTTGGTCCCTACAGGCGACATTTTGAACGAGGTCTGAAGAACAGCTGGTCCTCAACGCATCAGGTGGACGACTGATGTGTTAATTAACCAATCAGAGGGGATTTTTCCGCCCCTTTATTCTGAGTTGTTGAAGCTTTTCCTGGTTCCTTCCAGATGAGCTCTGATCACTTCCTTTGATGACTTTGAGCCACACCTCCTCCTGCTGAAGGATGGAAGGATGGCTGAGAAGGTCCTCCATCAGGGTCTCCAGGCACCTTGGTCCCTCTGTAAAGCCGTCTCTAATGGAAAAAAGGTCTTGTAGGTCATTTTAATGTGTCACCTGTCAGTCCCAGTCTGGCCAGAGGTCAGAGGTCAGGCCCGTTCTGTGGTCCAGGAACGGGTCGACTCGTCATGAGCTCATGTGGAGGAAAACTGGGAGTCAAAGTTACCATCATGCTGAATTAAAGGAGCTGAGGGAAGGAAAGATCAGATGTTATCTTACCCTTTCACAAACAATAGTAGATCAAAATAAGTTCATGTAGCTTAAAGAACTTTAGATTAAAATTTGAACTTTGTCACAAATCATTGAATTATTCCATAATTTCAAACTTACCCAGTAAATTTACTTCCTTAGTGTTCGGTACCTTTATCACTTCTGCACCTGCAGAAATCCAAACAAACTTCTCCTCAGCAGAGGAGGGAGGGAGGACCTGCAGCGCTGTAAACAAGGGGAGACGCTGCAGCACAGCCTTCTCTGTTGCTTCCACCAGACATGATGTGTGGAAGAAGAAAATAGGCTTTCCATCTGATTTTAAGAACGATGTTTCCAAGGCGAAGCAGAATCAAAGAACCAGAAACAAGAGTTTCATGAGGCGAAGAAACACCAAATCAGGGGTGCAAGAAGCTGAACCATCAACAAACATCAACAAAGCTGGTTTTCCCAAACGCTCATCAGACAGTCAGGCTGAGGTGTTCAAACTTCATCCAGCAGTCGCTCCGACTTCTGCCTCTGCAACGAGCCGAGATGGCCCCAACCAAGAACGCCATTTTATTCCCCTATTTATTCACTTTACTGGTTTAGTCATAATTTAGTATTTTATTTAGGTTGTTTATTTATTCTGCTCTCAATTACCAACCCAAATTCCACATGGACTGTTCCAGATGGAAAAATAAACAGCATCTATATGGATCCTTATTAGTTTAGTTTTGCTGTTTGTCTCTTCTTCCCTTCTTTCCACCCTTTTCTTCAACAGAACAAAATATTATGTATGTATATATATATATATATATTATTTTTTTTTCTTTTTTTTTCTTTTTAAGAAACAATAACAAAAAATTTAAGTCAATTTAAACTCCAGATATATTTGAGCTGTGGATTCATTTAGAATAGATAATTTTAAAGCCTCCATTTTTATCATTATTACTAGATCATATTGTTTTGTAGGTTTAAAGCCCTGCAAGGCTTTAAACCTGGTTTGAATGGAGACTAAGCCCTTCTCAAGCAGCTCATTTTGAGCCTGGATCCAGATTTATTGTTGATTCTGTTCATGGTGGAGAATCCTGCTTCACAGCAGCAGGTTGAGCCAAACATCCTCTAAATGTGCAGGGTCATCTTTGAGCACGCCATTTCACTTTTCTTTCACCAGTTCACCGCAGTTCTTCCAGCAGTCCACACTTTCTCTGCTCTCTTTTTCTCATCGTCTTTTCCTTCTTTCCCATCGCCCGGCTTGCCACAGGTTTGCCTGCTGTGTCTAAAAGTAGCAGCAGAAAGGTGATAGGTGGACTCTGCTTCTGTTCTTCTGGCAAATTTATTTAACGGTATCAGATTTGCTTTTATTTTGCCCTAAAAAGTAGAAAGTTCACAGGCTGAGAATACTTTTGATCTTTTCAAAGAGGTTTAATGAAAATATGGTAAATCTGAAGGAGGAAGTTTTTATTTCATGGATTTAGGAGTCATCTCTTCACACTGCAGTTTAAGTCAGGCTGCTGGTAGTGTAGTATGTGAAATACTGCCCTCTGCTGTTCACAGGAGGAAACACAGCTGTCAGAGGATGAGGGTTTCTTCATGTTTTCTCTTTCTGGACCTAAAAAGGTTTTAAACTTGTGACAACAAAGCTGAGAAGAATAAAAACAGCAGCTAACAGGTTTGCAGTAAAAAGTAGATTTATTTTTATCCAAAATATGCAGACATTTTTCAACCAAATGAAACAAGCAGCTTCCAAACATTTTCTTAGTAAATAGTCAAGTCAAGTCAGCTTTTATTGTCATTTTCTTCATATGTAAAAGACATACAAGGGAAATGAAATTACGTTTACTCTCTGCAATATACAAATATACAAGACTGATCAGATCTGAACCTTTTTTATGGGAAGTGTGAAGCGATACTAGAGTCTCTGTGGTTTTCCTGCAGCAGGTTTTCCTCCTCCTTCCTCCTGATGAGGATCATCATCTGGATGCTGTGGCTGCCCGGCAGACTGGAACCAGCCAGATCCGACTGGTCAGCATCAAAGTCAGCGAGTTGGACAGAGACACAGTCCAGTTTCCACCTGTGGAGCAGAGGCTCGATGGACCAGTCTGAGCTGCAGAAGGACAAGGAGGACCGTTATAAAATCTTCTTTGTTTTTTAACAGAAACAGGATAAAAACCAACAGCTTTCCACACTGATGCAGAAATATGCTTTGGACTGTTGGACAAGAAGTGTACGGAAGACCTGAGAAGCACACGGGTAAAAAAAGTGTGGATTTAGATTTTAAGGTTGTTTTTTTCTCACCGCACAATGTGTTTGCATTGTGTTTTTGGAAGAAAATACAGACTTATAAATCTAAACTCTTTCTTTTTTTTCTCCTCCACGTCCAGAGGAGCCAGTTGAGGTGGCTCAGGCATCTGATCAGGATGCCTCCTGGACGTTTCCCTAGTGGGAGGAGGCCCAGGACATGATGGAGGGACTATGTTTCTCTGCTGGCCTGGGAGCGCCTTGGGATTCCCCCCGGAGGAGCTGAGTCAGTAGGGAGACAGACGTCCGGGCCTCCCTACTGAAGCTGCTACCCCCGCGACCCGAACCCTAGAAAGTTCAGCGTCTGCCAGCGTTTAGGAGATTCTGGGACGTCAGGCGGACGCTGGATGAATAATCAAGGCGTGACAGGAGCCTAAGACTCAGAAAATGGCCAGATGTAAATAAGGGAATTAAAACCATCTATGGGGATCACGCCACCGAACCCGCCTACAAGCTCTGACTCCTGAGTTCAGTATTTTTGGGCGCTGCGTACGGCCCTGGATGTGGACGCAGTCAGGACAAACCGAATCGAAGCACCTCTGGACGCATCAACAGTCCACATGGAGAACTGCATCGAGCTAGCGTTGCTAGGAAAGATTAGCATAGCGGCACAGCTGGATGACGGACACCGTGTTACGTTAGAGGGAACCATGAAGAGGCTAATAAGAATCATTATTTAATTCTTCTGCTTTTCACCAACGATTGAACTTTCTCTGGTTTACAGTAGTTTGATCAATACTGACTCAGTTTTAGGTTTTAAAGAGTGACCATCTATCCTCCTACTGTCTTTTTGTGTAAGTTATATATGTGTCTGTGTGTGAGAATTTTGAAAGGATTAAATCCTGACTGTTAAATGAAGGTTATTGTCTGGCTTTTCATTGGAGTATAAATACAGACATATATCAGCTCCACCAAGGTTATTTTTCACCAGCCGCCGTCGCCGCTGCTTGCCTGAAAACTGTACCTTCTCACTTGGTACGTCGTCCAGAACTGAGCCTCTGGGTTTTTCTTCAACAGACAAACAAACGTCAGAAGAACATCTTCAAAATCTGTAATCAGAAAGCAGCTGCTCAGCCAATCACCAGGAGACGAGGAGGCGAAGCTTTAGCTCTGAAACACAAACCGACCCTCGGGGTCGTAGAAGACGTCCGAGCCGAGGACCAGGTCTTGTTTAGGAAGCAGCAGGAGTTCTGGGGTCACCTCCCCCCAGCTGAGGCCTAACACGGGGACGTCCTGCAGGCCGTTAGCCTCACAGCTCTGACCGCAGTTCTCCAGACACGCCGCCTTGTTGGAGCCATCCGAAAGGATGACCTTGGCCCCACAGCGGGCAGCCACCACCCCAGGAAGACTCACACCGGCTCCCAGCTGGACACAGAGCAGAGCAGCTGGATGAGCTGCAACTGGTTTCACTGAATGTTACCTTTAACTTCCAGTCTGAGGTTCAGATAATAGAGCAAAAATATTAAAGGATTTTGGGAAAAAGTTCTTAAAAACCAAAATGGAGAAAAACCAAAAGCTTAGTTTATGTGACTGCAGCAAATTAAAAACATCAATGTTCATTTAATAATAATAATAATAATGAATTTTATTTATAATGCACTTTACATTTGATTTCAAATCTCAAAGTGCTACAAAACAAGTTTAAAAGACCATAACATTAAAAACAGAGTAAAAAGACAGTCATTAAAATCAATACATTAAAAGGCATACGTAGCCTTCAATGGAGCGTTTTAGGCTCAAGTCATGGAAGCAGATTTAATTTAATGTTTTAATGATCTGTAAAAATTAAAAGTCTTCAATTTTTCAGAATTATTAGATTTAAGGCACAACTAAGGCTACATTCACACTGCAGGCCTTAATGCTCAATTCCGATTTTTTTTGTGAAATCGGATTTTTTTTGCGTGTCCGTTCATACTTCCAAGTATATGCGACTTGTATGTGATCTACTGTGTGAACTGAAAGCGTTCAACCGGAGTGTCCCGCATGCGCACTCGAGGACGCGATGACGTTACATGTAGCAAGCGTCCTCAGTGTTTGCGGAAGTAAACATGACTCGTAATACCGCAGCGTATATTGCGTTCTTTAAGTTCTTCTCCAACAGGATCGGCCATTTCTCGGGAAATGTTTTCAAATATCCCCCGGTTCCGGTAAGACCCTTCGAGTTTGGTCTGAATCGAGCTATCTTTCCAAATATGAATTAAATCAGCAACCTCACTTTCTCTCCATTGACTGCTCTCTGTGTTATCTTTCGCCATGGTTGTTAGTTTTTCCCGCCTCCGCTTAGTAGGACGCAGATTAGTAACGTTTAGTAAAATTTGTCAAGTATCAATGACGTGTAGGTCGGATGAATGCGACCTGGCCGTACAGACACAGGTCGCATTTGAAAAGATCAGCTACGTATCGGATTCAGGACCACATATCCAAGTGGCCTGGGTCGCATTTGAAAAAATCCGATCTGTGTCGTTCAGACTGTCATAAAAAGATCTGATACAGGTCACATATGGGCAAAAAAATCGGAATTGGGTCACTTCAGGCTGCAGTGTGAACGTAAGAGAAATAAACTGAATTCTGTTTGGAAGGCGGCCCCAAAGCACCCAACTCAGATCCAAAGGGGCCAACTTGGCCCCAAAGGATCCAACTCAGCTCCAAAGGGGCCAACTTGGCCCCAAAGGATCCAACTCAGATCCAAAGGGGCCAACTTGGCCCCAAAGGATCCAACTCAGCTCTGAAGGGGCCACCTTGGCCCCAAAGGACCCAACTCAGATCCAAAGGGGCCAACTTGGCCCCAAAGGATCCAACTCAGCTCTGAGGGGGCCAAATTGGACCCCAAGGCACCCAACTCTGCACCAAAGGGGCCAACTCAGCTCCAAAGGGGCCAACTCAGCACCAAAGGGGCCAACTTGGCCCCAAAGGATCCAACTCAGCTTCTGAGGGGCCAACATGGCCCCAAAGGAGGCTCCAGAGAGGGTAAAGCTTGGTTTAGTGTTGATGAATCTGCAATGTCAGTACAGAGGGTTAGATGGAGACGGAGGGAAAAAGCCAAAAGAGGAACAAGAAGAAGGGATTCAAACCAGGAGCCTCATGTTGGGGCCCCGCATGAAACTCTGAGGAACTCAGGAAGTCCTGAACCACTGAATGTGAGCACAGTTCAGTTCCAGAGGCTGAAGGTCTAAAAAACTGATGGTCCATAAAGTTGTTTTTTTTAGAACAATTGAAAACCAATAAAAATCTGTTTCTAGATTCCGTTTTTATCTAAAACTAGAAATTCTAACAAAACTTTCAACTTAAAATGAGATCGTTGGAAAAGTTCAGCCATGTGTTTGAAAGCAATACTCACCTCCAACACCGCCCTGCCTCTCAGCTGGTCTCTGTGGAACCACAGGTACTGGGCCAGGACCACCGCACACGGCCACACGTACATCCCGTACTGAGGGTCCAGAACCTGCCGGAGGATCACAGTCAGAACTGCTGACAGAGTGACGCCTCCTTCTGAGGAGGATCAGCTCCTCCTTCAGTCTGCAGTAGCATTCACACAGCTGGACATCTTGTGGTAGCTTCTATACCCTATATCTATACAGTAAAAACTCTCATTTATATGGCCTCTATTTCACATCAGGTTTTAAAGTTAAAAGCTGAATGAAAAACGTTTCATTTTCAGTCAGTTTACAGGAAATTTAGGCGAACCAATAATTCTGCCACAAGTTATTTCCCCAAAACATTCATTTAAACACAAATATTTTAACAATAAAGATCAGATTTAAAAAAAAAATAATAGATGGATGGATGGATGGATGGATGGATGGATGGATGGATGGATGGATGGATGGATGGATGGATGGATGGATGGATGGATGGATGGATGGATGTCAGACCTCAGGGATGCAGACCCTCAGGCTCTCCTGTGGACTCTTCGGGTCTTTAAAGGTGAAGGCTCTGCAGGCTCCGCCCCCTCTCGCGGCTCCGCGTTGCTCCATTATCTCAGAGCTCCTCTAGTGGCACCGGTCAGATTAAACACAGCTGATCTGAACTTCATTACATTTCCGAGGATCTTTGTGACAGGAAGCGTTTGGATCTTCTTCCGCGTTGCTCTAGTGGGTCCGCTCCTTATTAGTTAGCCGGTAATTGGTGCGGCTGAGAGGGGCTAGGAGGGGCTGGCAAGCGGTGAATGAACCCCTAACTCTAACAAGTCCTCTTGAAAAAAGACGAATCATGAATTAATAGTTTTTTTTTCTCATCATGAACTCATGATAAAATGGCTTTGAGATGTTACCACCTGTAACATATATGTATATATATATATATATATATATATATATATATATATATATATATATATATATATATATATATATATATATATATATATATATATATATATATATATATATATATATATATATAGAAAGATGGCTTTCAGGAGTATTTGAACATTCCGATTTCCGCATCACACACTTAAACTAGCAGCCAATAATATCCATGGGCGGGAATACTGTGGTTGCGAGGTTAACCAATCAGCGCCCTGTATTATTGGTGCTCTGACGGCCAATCAGAAACCTTCTGCCTCAGTTAGGGGCGGGAGTTAGTTGCGTAATCTGTTTCACAAGCATTGTGTGTCCCGCTGTTAGCTTACATAAAACTTTAAAGGCGGTTATGTGGCTTTAAAGCTCAAATTTATAGTTTTATATTAGAGACGTTCAGGAGCAGCTTCCGCTTATGTTGTTGTTTTGTGTTATTAAAGCGACGCTGTGACTGGGAGAGTGAATATAGCAGCCAGTTAGCCCCACTAGAGGCTAATCAGAAACAGCTAACCGGAAGAAAATGAACCATAAAAGTAAGAAGAGAATTAAAGAAGCGAAGCGGAGTGCCAGGCCAGAGCTTAAAGACTCCCTAGACTGGATAAAACACGGTTATTACGAGAACTTTGACGTGTCACACGGAACCGTGAAGGTAACGTTGATATTCCACGTTTCAGCTAACAGCAGCTAGCCACTGTAGCTTCCTGTGCATTTAGTCACGTAGACAATGTAGGAGCTGCTGTCAGAGCGCCCTCTGCTGGAGGAGTGGATCATTTACAGCAAAGCTTTGATCTTTAAGGCATCTGTTCAGTAGAGCAGTGATACCTGATGATGCTTCAATGGCAGCATTATTGACCTGCAGCTCTGACTAACACGCTTTGACCTGTTTATATGTGGACATTTCACGAATTTTCTCATAATTTAATATTTCGTTGATTTCCACTTGAGTTAAATACTTCATTTGAAAATGTCTACAAGTTGGCAGTATTCATATTTAAGGTGATAAACGTATATATTTCACAGGGCTAAATAGGGATTAGTTCCTTGTAATGGATTATGACTTAATTACTAATTAAGGGGTTAAAGTATAAATTGTAGCTATAGAATCACTGATTGGATTTTCAGTAATAATCTGTTAGTTCATGTCTTCAGATGAAGGTTTATCTAAAAACAAAACATTAGCTGTTAGCATATAGCAGATTGGTTATTAAGCTGATGACCTTTTTTACAACCTCATATCCCTGTGTTGTAATTTTATGAACTTTTATTAAAGATTACATTAAATCTTACTTTTAAAGTGATTTAATTTAAAAAAACTCACATACAAAATGCTATAAACATTTTTAATGATCAGCTTTTTCTGCCAGTTTCTAAAGTCACCGGAAGGATAGTGAAAACTGAACATAAATTAAATAGGGTCAGAAACGCAGAGGGAGGTCAGTCAGCAATGCTGATGTCATCGGACAGGACGCGTCTCAGTGGGAGGTCGTCCTTTTTTCAGCAGGACTCCTGCAAATCTAGTAGAACTTTGATCGCAGGTTTGAAGAAATCGCTGCTGCTGGAAAAGTTGATTCATCTGTTTTTCAGCAGGTTGTCAAACATTTGAGACCTTTTGGGTTTTTATTCAGAACTGCAGATAAATCTTCACCAATATGCTGCTGAACCAGTGCTTCTCATTTCATATCATTTTAAACAATCATAGAAACAGTTTAAGTGTTTCAGGTTGTCAGTGCATTTGGTGCTGTTAGTGAAAACGTCCTTAATGAATTTAGTCCCATTGACAGTAAGAGGGATTTTTTTCCCCGCTTTTCAATATATCAATGGAATAAAAAAGTCATCAGCCTATTGGTTATATTTGCCTTAAACATCCAGAGTTCATTTTAGATCGTCTCGATCAGTCCTTCCCAACCTTTTTTGACTTGTTTGGCTATTTTATCAGACCATCAGTGCCTGCTTGCCCAAACATGTTAGTTTTCAAAACTAGAAATTTCAACTGATTATAAAATAAAAATTAAAAAAATATTGAATCTCCTTAACTTTAACATTTAATGCTGAGACATTTTATTCTTTTCAATTAGAGTTAAAAAAAAAACATAAATACGTTGCCTTGAGAGTGAATAAGTATAGAAGTATATAAAAGATCAAAACAAGTTACAAATGGTGTAAATCACACCATCATGACGATTTGATTCAGTATCAATTTCCGGACTCAGTGATTCGATTATTTTCGATACTCAAGAATACACCAAGATATGATTTGAATAATTGGTCCATTTTTTTCTACTTTACAGGCTAAATTGCCCTATTTTATTGCATTTATTAAACTGTGAAATAAAATATTAAATGTTTTCACATAGCCCCTGCAATGCATTGGTGGACCACTAGGGGTGCTAATACCCCTGGTTGGGATTCACTATTCTAGAAAACAAAATAAAACACAGTTCAGCTGATTCTACATTAATTCATTTAAACTGAATTGATGAGCATCTCTACTGAACTTATATCAGGGTTCCCAATATAAAAAAAATTATTATAAAATTTATTTCAAAGCTTATTATTTTATACTACATGTAATAATTAAATTAACTAAATCCTAAAATAGGTCAAATTTAGAAAAGATTTTTGTTGCCTTCCTGTTCCAGGACAACGTGGAGCGGGTGGATGCCCTCCGTCTTTCCCCAGAGGAGTTCATCTCACGCTTCGAGCGGCCCTACAAACCCGTCGTCCTCCTGAACTGTCAGGAGAGCTGGCCCGCTCGCGAGAAATGGACTCTGGAGCGCCTCAAACGCAAATACCGAAACCAGAAGTTCAAATGTGGGGAGGACAACGACGGCTACTCCGTGAAGATGAAGATGAAGTACTACGTGGAATACCTGGAGTCCACCAAAGACGACAGCCCGCTCTACATATTCGACAGCAGCTACGGCGAGCACGCCAAGAGGCGGAAGCTGCTGGAGGACTACGAGGTGCCGCTGTTCTTCAGGGACGACCTGTTCCAGTTTGCAGGGGAGAAACGGAGGCCTCCTTACAGGTTCTGACCTCCTCTGAGCGTCCGGTCGCCGCCCAGCCGCCCGCGGTTTAAACTCACCCCCTCGCTCTTCCCTCTGCAGGTGGTTCGTGATGGGTCCGGGCCGCTCCGGCACCGGCATCCACATCGACCCGCTCGGTACCAGCGCCTGGAACGCTCTGGTTCAGGGCCACAAGAGGTGGTGCCTGTTCCCCACCAACACGCCGCGGGAGCTGATCAAAGTGAGCCGCGAGGACGGGGGGAACCAGCAGGATGAGGCTATCACCTGGTTCAGCGTGATCTACCCCCAGACCCAGCAGCCCACCTGGCCTCAGGAGTTCAGACCGCTGGAGATCCTGCAGAGGCCCGGGGAGACCGTGTTCGTTCCGGGTCAGTACCAGAACCAGGTCCGGTGCCGCTGTCATGGTCCAGAACCTCAGTAGCTGTAAAACCCGGCAGTAGAAAGACCAAACCAAACATCGCAATATATTTGGGCTATAATCGCGATACACAATATTTATTACCATATCTTTAGTTTACCTGCTCAGATAAACTCCAACTTCTGGTTTCAAATTTAAATCTTTTTTATTTTAAGCAGCTCAATCCTTTCTGCCATGATGAGTCGCAGCTTTTTGTTCCAAAAATATCAACATTTCCAACAAATGCCGCCGGTGGATCCCACTGCGCTCGATTTATTCACTGATTGCTGATCGCCTGCTGGTGGCACAGGGTGGAAGGAAGCCACTGGCCGCCATATTGGTACTCCCTAGTTTGACTGGTAGCAGTGTAAACAATCGGTGCGCTGCAGCATCGAACAACCAGGATGTTCTCATTTTCAGGGAGACTCAAGACTTTAAAATAAAGATAAATGCATCAGTTTGACACAGACTGGCTGCTTCACAGCATCAGTAGATTAACTTTAACTTAAAATAAAAAAAATAGATCCATCACAATGCAGAGTCATTATGAAGTCAATAAATCATTTAATATAACATTTATATAAATCCATCACAATAAAATTAATGTGTTGATGGAGCAGAATAATACAGATGAGCCAAAAGTGATAAATTGATGATCTGCCTGTAATAAAGATGGATTGATTACATCATCGTAATTACATATACAGGTGCTGGTCATAAAATTAGAATATCATGAAAAAGTAGATTGATTTCAGTAATTCCATTTAAAAAGTGAAACTTGTATATTATATTCATACATTACATACAAACTCATATATTTCAGATGTTTATTTTGTTTAATTTTGATGATTACAAATGACAACAAATGAAAATCTCAAATTCATCATATCAGAAAATTAGAATATTGTGAAAAGGTTCAAAATTGATGGCCCCTGGTGCCACACTCTAATCAGTTAATTAACTCAAACCACCTGCAAAAGCCTTTAAATGGTCTTTCAGTCTAGTTCTATAGGCTACACAATCATGGGGAAGACTGCTGACTTGACAGTTGTCCAAAAGACGACCATCGACACCTTGCACAAGGAGGGCAAGACACAAAAGGTCATCGCTAAAGAGGCTGGCTGTTCACAGAGCTCAGTGTCCAAGCACATTAATAGAGAGGCGAAGGGAAGGAAAAGATGTGGTCGAAAAAAGTGTACAAGCAAGAGAGATAACCGCACCCTGGAGAGGATTGTGAAACAAAACCCATTCAAAAATGTGGGGGAGATTCACAAAGAGTGGACTGCAGCTGGAGTGAGTGCTTCAAGAACCACCACACACAGACGTATGAAAGACATGGGTTTCTGCTGTCGCATTCCTTGTGTCAAGCCACTCTTGAACCACAGACAGCGTCAGAAGCGTCTTGCCTGGGCTAAAGAGAA